CTCTCTCTCACACACACACACACACACACACACACTACCTTTGAAAGGTCCAAGATTCAAAGGTGAAACGTGGACCTTTCTGCCTGGTCCTTCATGTTCATGTCCTTCAGGAGAGGCCGGGGGGGCTGCCTGTCACAGCATCTGCGATGGCCTCGTCCATGCCCTGGTCACTCTGCTCTGTGCTTCTCTCTCTGGCAGGGTGCGGTGGTGTGGTCTCACCGCCGCCTCCTGTGGGGATCTCGCCGCTGCTCTCAGCACCAGCCCCAGCCTGACGGAGCTGCACCTGAGTGGTAACAATGATCTGAGGGATGGCGGTGTGCGGCAGCTGTGCAGGGGACTGAGACATCCCAGCTGCAAGTTGCAGACACTGCGGTAAGGAGCATGCAGCTTCCTCTGGGCACGCACTAGGTCTCTCTGGAAACGCTCGACGTGGCGAGGTGTCTTCGTCCTGGTGTTTGGGACAGCGGGATAGGTCGGCTGAGCGCAGATGGCTCGGTCTGTGTCTCTGGGTCTGTGTTGCGTGTGGTGACTGTACTAATTTAAGTGAAATCCAGGACGCAATTAAGGAAAGCCAGGATGGGGGTGCACTATGTGTGTATGCGTGCGCACACACACACACACACACATACACACACCTCTGTGCCTCTTCATACACACACACATACATGCACGCACATCCTCCTGTGCCTGCTAGCCCTCACACACGCACACACACACACACCAGTCTGCGTCCTCACACACGCGTACACATCCATACCGCCCAGTGCCTCCGTGAGTGCACAGGCACACAGCCCACGTGTGTGCCTCCTCTCCCACACACACAGACACACCCCAGTACTGCATCTCACACTCACACACACACACACACACACACACACACACATCTGTGCCTCTTCATACACACAGATACATGCATGCTCACCCCCTGTGCCTTTTCATGCTCACCCCCCGCTGTGTCTCCTCACACGCACACACACAAAGGCACATCAGTGCCTCCACAAACACACACACTCACACACATACCCTGGTGCCTCCTTTCTCTTTCTCTCACAGACAGACACACACACATCCACATCCACCCGTCTTCATACACACACATACATGCACGCGCAGACTCTCTGTCCTCACACAGACACATCCATGTACCTCCTCACGCACACACACACCCACACCCCCTGTGTGCCTCCTCTCTCTCACACACACACACACACACACACACACCCTTTTGAAAGGTCCAAGTTTCAAAAGTGAAATGTGGACCATTGTGCCTGGCCCTTCATGTTCATGTCCTTCAGGAGATGCTGGTGGGGCGGGGGCTGCCTGTCACAGCATCTGCGATGGCCTTGTCTGTGCCCTGGTCACTCTGCTCTGTGCTTCTCTCTCCCCCAGGTTGGGGCGTTGTGGTCTCACATCCGCCTGCTGTGGGGATCTCGCTGCTGCTCTCGGCACCAGCCCCAGCCTGACAGAGCTGCAGCTGTGTGGTAACGGTGATTTGGGGGATGTCGGCGTGCGGCGGCTGTGCAAGGGACTGAGAGATCGCAGCTGCAAGTTGCAGACACTGGACACACACCTTTGTGCATCTTTCTACACACACACATACATACATGCACACAAACCCATGTGCCTCCTTACACACACACACACACACATACATACATGCACACATGCCCCTGTGCCTCCTCACACACACACACACTCAGACACACACACACCTTTGTGCATCTTTCTACACACACACATACATACATGCACACAAACCCATGTGCCTCCTTACACACACACACACACACATACATACATGCACACATGCCCCTGTGCCTCCTCACACACACACACACTCAGACACACACACACCTTTGTGCATCTTTCTACACACACACATACATACATGCACACAAACCCATGTGCCTCCTTACACACACACACACACATACATACACACACACACACATGCCCCTGTGCCTCCTCACACACACACTCAGACACACACACACCTTTGTGCATCTTTCTACACACACACATACATACATGCACACATGCCCCTGTGCCTCCTCACACACACACACCCACACACACATACATACATGCACACATGCCCCTGTGCCTCCTCACACACACACACTCAGACACACACACACCTTTGTGCATCTTTCTACACACACACATACATACATGCACACAAACCAATGAGCCTCCTTACACACACACACACACACACACACACACACACCCACTGTCTGCCTATTCACACACACACAGACACACACACATACATACACGCACACATAACCTGTGCCTCCTCACACACACACACACACACACACACTTCTGTGCATCTTCCTACACACACACTTACATACATGCATCCAAACCCACCCTGTGCCTGCTCATACTCAGACACACATCCCTGTGTTCTTCCTCACACACGTGTAAACACACCCACACCCCTGCACCTCTTCACACACACAGCCTGGTGCCTCCTCATACACATGCATACAGACACACACTCACATACACACACACACCTTGTGGCTCCTCACATATATGTGCATATAGCCTGGTGCCTCTTCTCTCTCATTCACACACACCTCTGTTCCTCTTCATACACACCCCTGTAGATGCACGCACACACTGCCTGCTCACAATCACAGACACACCTGTGTGCTTCCTCACACACACACAGACATCTGTGTCTCCTCACACACACACACATACTCACACACACAAACCCATGTGCCCCCTCACACACACATATACAACCATGTGCATCCTCAGACACATGCACACACAGTCACCTGTGCCTCCTCACACACACCCTGTGCCTCCTTGAATACACGTGCACACAGCCCAGTGCCTCCTCCCTCACACGCACAGACACACCCCAGTGCTGCGTCTCACACTCATATGCCCACACACACACACACACGCACTTCTTTGCCTCTTCATACACATACATACATGCATGCACACCCCCCATGCTTGTTTATACTCACATACACACCCCTGTGTGCCTCCTCCTTATGTACACACTCGTAGACACACACACATACACACATACCCTGTACCTCCACACATACAGGTGCACACAGCACAGTGCCTCCTCTCTCACACAGACACACCCCAGTGCCTCATCTTGCACACACAAACATACAGATATAACACACCGTAGTGCATCCTGTCACCCACACACACATCTGTACATCACTGCACCTTCCAAACACACGCGTGCGCACACACGCACAACCCTGTGCCTGCTCTCTCTCTCTCACACACACACAGCCTGGCGCCTCCTCACACACTCACAGACACACACACACATTAACACACAACCTGTGCCTCCTCACATACACGTGCACGTAGCTCGGTTCCTCCTCTCCCACACACACACACATACCTCTGTGCCTCTTCATACGTACACACACCCTACCTGCTCACAAGCACAGACACACACCCATGTGCCTCATCAGACTCACGCACACAAATCAATGTGCCTCCTCACACGCATGTACACAACCATGTGCATCCTCACACATATACACATACATTCTCACCTGTGCCTCCTCACACATACACACCCACACTCACACCCTGTGCCTCCTCAGATACACATGCACACAGCCCAGTGCCTCCTCCTTCACACACACACACACAGACACACCCCAGTGCTATATCTCATGCTTACATGCATACACACACACACACACACTTCTGTGCCTTTTCATATGCACACATACATGCACGCACACCCCATTTGTGCTCATACTCACACCCCCGTGTGTGTCCCACACACAAACACACCCCTGTGCCTTCTCATACACACACATACTCACAGACACACAAACCCTGTGCCTCCTCACATACCCCCCCCAGTTCTATGCATATGCACCGCTGTGCCTCTATATACACAAACACATGCATACACACCCCCCTGTGCCTGCTCACACTCACACATAAACACCTGTGTGCCTTCTCACACATACACAAACATGTGCATCCACAGCCCCCCCCCACACACATACCCTGTGCCTCCTTGAATACCCATTCACACAGTCCGTGTGTGAGTTCTTCCTCTCTCACACACACATTCCTGTGCCTCCTCACACACACACAAACACACACACACACACACACACTCTCTCTCTCTCTCACAGACACATACATACACACACAGCCCTGTGCCTCCTTTCTTTCACACAGATATAACCCTGTGCTTCTTGACACACACACATGAACACAACCCTGTACCTTCTCACCCTCGCCTGCCCCCATCCTCTGCACAGACACACACACACACACACACACACACACACCCCCCTCTGTGCCTACTCACACAAACACACCTGTGTGCCTCCTAACACATTCAGAACCATGTGCATCCACACACACACAAACAGACACACTCACCTGTTCTTCCTCACAAACATGTACACACCCTGTGCATCCTTGAACACATACACACAGTCCATGTGTGTGAGTGCCTCCTCTCTCTCATTCTTTTCATTCCATCCAGGAAGAGCACACACCAACTGCTGCAGCTTCCTTAGCCTGACGAAGGGTTTTTGAACCCGAAAGCTTGCTTAATAACTGTTCTCCAACCATTTGGGTTGGTCTAATAAAAGATATCAAATTCCCCCAAGGAACCTTGTCTGCCTCCTCTCTCTCACACACAGACACAGCCTAGTGCTGCATATTGCACTCACACACACAGAGGCACATGTCTGTTCCTCCTCAAACACACACAGACACATGCATGGAGAGCCCCCCCATGCCTGCTCATAGGGACCCCCCCCCCCCCCGTTCCTAAGCACACACACCCACACACACACACCCTCTTCCTCCTCACCCTGGGGGCCTTGCTCTGTGCTCCCTATGGCTCTTACCCTCCCCTGCCTTTTCCCCCACAGACTTACCTGCGGGGTGGGGGGCACACTAGGGCTCCCAAAATCATTTGTTCTCCCTCCGCCTGTGGTGGGAACTGCTGCGGGGCAGGAGCGCGTGGGGGGGCTGCGGGGCGGGAGTGAGGGCACCAGCAGAGCAGGGCTGCTCAGCACCACAAACCAGCGGGGAGAGGAGGGACAGCCGCAGCTGGACCTGCACCCTGGGCAGTGAAGGGGGCAGGGGCAGCTCTGATTTTCTGTGACAAAAAATCCAAAATCAAACACCAAAATCTCTAGGTACTGAGAATGTATTTTATTATAATAACTGAGGCACTGTCAGCTCCCAGACTGGTTTAGAGCTGTAATATCAATAAAACATCGTTTTCAATTGATACCTGTATGCATAGTGACGTTTCGTTTTAATCGTGGAAAAACATGGATTCTGGGGGTTTTAATCAGAGAATTTGGGATGTTTATCAGAAATTTCTGGATTTTTATC